AGAATCGTCGAACATGGAAACTGTTCAAAACGAGTACTGTTCCATTAACAAAAACAAATTCAAACTCGAAATTGCTGCAAAATCATGATCGTATCGAATAAAGATTGTTCGATTCTGCTCTGATACCAATTATAAATCTCAGTTTAACAGAACAATTCAAGATGAATAACCGATTGCTATGAAGAAGAACATAGAAATGTACAGGTTGTGTTGTATTAAAGATGAAAACAAAAAACTCAAAGTAATCACTCTCTAATCGACTCTCGTTGAAAACATGAATTTGAATAATGAAATCTAAGACCCCAAGACACCTATTTATAGGTGTCACTTACAAGGTAATCCCAATGCCCAATTACAATGAATATAACAATAAAATACATGAAATTGACTTTATAAAACTTTCATTATATTGATCTTGAGGCTAATCTAGTGCCACCAGTATTTTATTATGAAGTTTAAAGTGTAAAAAAGTGATCTCACAAGTTTAACAAAAACAAATTTGTGTAATGTGATCCCAAACCTATATATATTAATTAGTACATTACCATTGACAGAACAGAATTATAAAATAGTCCCACCTAGTCTGAGCAATTATATATATGAGCATTTTAGAACATGATATTTATGTAATTGGTGGAATTTAAATATAGGACAGGTGCCGGCTAATTAAGTAATCAATGATAAACAGATAATAGATCTATGTAGTTGGCAGGAAGCTTTGGAAGCCGCCACAAGTTGGATTCCAATGGTAACGTGGATTTAAATTCGATTTCAAATTAATCAACAACCTATTTTTCATCAAAGATCGAATGGGCATCTCACAAGATGATCGCATCAAACAACTAAAGGCTTTTGATGACACAAAATTGGGTGTCAAAGGACTAGTAGATGCTGCAGCTGGTGGGTCTGTTGCTATCCCCAAAATATTTATCCGACCAGCTGATGAACTCGCCCAAGATCTGGAACTTGCCCGAACAAGTTTACGAGTTCCAGTCATCGATCTTAATGGAGTTGACGATAACGGAAGCTCGCTAAGGGAAGAAGCAGTTGAACAAGTTAAGCAAGCTTCAGAAAAATGGGGTTTCTTCCGGGTGATTAATCATGGGATACCCATGAAAGTGCTCCAAGAAATGCTGAATGGGGTACGTGAGTTTAATGAGAAGGACGTCGAGATGAAAAAGGATTATTATTCGAGGGATCCAGAGAAGTTGGTGAAGTTCAACTCCAACTACGATCTTTACCTGTCAAGATCAGCTAATTGGAGGGATACGTTGGTAATTGACATGTTGAATACTTATGATGTTGATCCTCAATATCTGCCATCGGTTTGCAGGTACATCATTCAGCTAACGCTTGGAGCTTTAATCTATACTAGTTGAAATCACCATTAATTGTGCTTGCTTACTTTGATTACAAGTATTCATATGTGCAGAAATGCTACTCTGGACTACCTAAATCATCTGAAGAAGCTGGTAGATACCCTTTTTGAGTTATTATCGGAAGCTTTGGGGCTGGAAACGAACCATCTGAAACTACTGGAATGCGAGAAAGGTCGAAGCCTGGCTTGCAACTACTATCCTGCATGCCCTATGCCCGAGCAGACCCTCGGAATCAGCAAGCACACCGATGCATCTTTTATCACTGTACTTCTACAGGATGAGGTTGGGGGACTACAAGTTCTGCATCGAAACCAATGGGTCGATGTTGAACCTATTCCTGGTGCTCTCATTGTCAATATTGGAGATCTTCTTCAGGTTCTTTTTCTTGAAATACGAGGAAAAGGATATATACATACGAATGAATATAATTATGCTTAATTGGTTATGAAATTGTGTTGATTCCATGCAGATCTTATCAAATGATAAGTTCAAAAGTGTGATCCATCGTGCACTTGGGAATGCAAGTCGAACAAGAACGTCGGTTGCATGTTTTGTTGATGGTGTGTCAACACCCGCAAAAGTTTATGGACCGATTGAGGAGCTTATAACGAAAGAAAGTTCTCAGATGTATACAGATTTCACAGTAAGGGACTACATCATCAAGTTCTTCTCCAGGGGACTCGACGAAAAGTCTGGCCTAAACCATGTTCGAATATAAGATAAACGTTTTGTGAACCCAAGAACCGTACTGCTCCCGAAATCTGAAAGCAATGTCTGATAAATTTATGTTTAATTTCCTGTAAACTTATTCCATTTGGGTTTTCTACACAAACTGGACTTCGATCATGTACCAGTACTTTATGGTTGAGAATATTTGAAAAAACAAAGTGTTATTTTATAATACCAAACAAAACATATGTAACATATCAACTGGAATGTATTAATTGATATGCTATGAAGTTTCGGTTTAGTGAATGCAAAGTGTTTTAATTAATAATTTCGTAAATAAATGTTTTGTATTCATCTTTTTTAAATTTTGGGTACAAATACATATTTTCGTCAAAGAAGTAAAGAAACAAAAAAGACTTTATTTTAAATAAAAGTGTACTCACATAATGTATCTTGATTTTGAATGCAAAAACTCAAACCGTCAATCTTAATTCATGTTTTATTCTCTGATCATCTCAATTTTATTTTATGGTTTTATATGTTTATGAGAAATTATTCAAGTTTTTCGGTTGATTATCAGAATTATTCAAGTTTTTGGGTGTATTAGTAGAGTTCATCACTAACCATATATTTGAATATTCTTGTGAGCTTTGGTTGTCTTTTATCTTGACATCCTCGAATCTAATATTTAGACCAAGTGACGTCTAAGCCGAATGATTAGCAAAATGAGTTATTTCTAAAATTGTTCAGAAGATAAATGTAGATACTATTAATATTAATATAATAATACCTATTACCTATATATATATATATATATATATCTATCTATCTTACTCATGTCCGTATGATACTGCCAAAAAAAATATTTCTTTTTTTTTGGGTCATTGTTCCAAAAATTGACTTTTGTGGCCCCCAAGATTATCTCATTCAATATTACATGCATTAATTGTTCTTGGGCTATAAATGCACAGTTGTTCCTCCGGTTTTGAGATATTATCATATATAATCCTTGAGAATATTACAATATAGTAAGATTAGATATTGTGAATACTACTAGAAAACTTGGCTTCAGTGATGAAAATTAGCGATAGAAAAAGTCCTTCGCTGACCTACGAGAGATCAGCGAGGAAATTGGTTTTTGGCTAATTCTCTCGTTGATCACGTTGATCCAATATCCAATTCCCTTAGGGAAAGGAATTGAAATGTCTAAATCTTTGACCAAATTCCAAATAGAGTGTTTAGTTCATGGAATAAGATTAAGAAATCCTTTCAATTTCAGTCGATTCCTTCACCCATAGATTTTACAATTCCATGGCAATATGCTAGGATTTCAGTTCATTTCCTATAGATTCCTTCCCTAATCCAATTCCGTTAAGAATTCCATTCCAATTCCATGCAACCAAAGGCAATCAGAAGGCATGGTCAAATTCCATCATATTTCATTTCATTCCCTCAAAGTCAAATTCATTTGATGAATTCCAGTTCCATCGAATTCGAATTCCATTCTACGAATCAAACGTCCCTTAGGGATCAGTGAGGGAATTGGCCAAAAACCAATTACCTCGTTGATCCTTCGCTATCAACAAAGAAATTGGCTAGAAACTTATTCTCTCACTGATCCCTCGCAGATCTACGAGAGATCAGTGAGGGAAACTGGTCTTTTGTCAATTCTTTCGCTGAGCCCTCGCAGATCAACGAGGGATCAACAAGGAAATTAGTTTTTTGCCAATTCTCTCGCCTATCTCTTGCATATCACCGAGGGATCATTCCCAATACCGCTGGTAGGCCAACTAGGCCTTGAGCACGGCAGGGACGGGATTCCTAAAAAACCAGCCGGGCCCAAGGTCAGTATAAAATCTCTAAGCAGGGAACGGGATAATTTCCACTACCATTGGCAGGCTAGTCGAGCCGTGGACATGGTGGTGAAGCGCAAAAAGCGAACTGCAGGGGTCAATATAGAATGAAGGGAACGACCCTAATGTTGTGTTGGTAAAGCCAACTTCTTGGGTTTCGGGTGGAAAGAAGCGGACGTAGGGACTTGGGTCGAGACGTAGGAATTGGCCAAAAATGAATTCCCTCATTGATCCCTCGTTGATCTACGAGGGATCAATAAGGGAATTGGCCAAAAACAAAATCCCTCGTTGATTCGTCGCTGAAAGTTTTCCTTGCTGATCTATCGCTAAAAGTTTCCCTCGCTGATCCATCGCTGAAAGTTTCCCTCGATTATCCGTCATTGAAAGTTTCTTTCGCTGATCTATCGCTGAAAGTTTCTCTCGCTAATCCATCGCTAAATTTCGTCGTTGATCCGTCGCTGATCCGTCACTAATAGCATTACCTACGAGCTTTTGACCGACGGAGTATCAGCGATGGATCAACGACGGAAGACCCCTTTTGACCGTCGCTAATCCCTCGCTGATACTTTTCATTTTTGTAGTGGAATATACATGACCTAATAGATAAGAATATATAAATATTGGTTTTAGATAGAAACCAAGTGATGATGTACATGTTATGACCATAGACATAGGGCCAAAGACTCCTACCTCAATCTCAACCATAACCCACTTCGTCGACCATTTTTTCTGGAATGTAGGCTAATCCTCAATTCTTATTTCTCATTTCTTTTAAACCATTTTTGACCCTTTTCATTGTAAAACAGAGGAGCATTTTAAAAGGATTATTTTGTCGAATATATTTGTTTTCGGTTAATTTTCAACGAGTCAGTAACATATTGGCCGAAAATCTGGGTTTTCAAGAGATTTTCGATGGAATTTTCGACATAAATAATCCATTGAAAAACCAATGAAAATTCCAAGCAATTTTCGACAACCCTTTCGTAGATTTTTTTATGGAATTTCGAGGATAATCTTTGAAGGATTTTCGAGAGATTTTAATTTTTGAGGGATTTTCTACAGATTGTAACATTCGAGGGATTTTTGACGGATTCTTATGTGCGAGAGATTTTCGACCGAATCATTTTTAAGGTTTTCAGCGGAATAATTTTCATGGTATTTTCAACGGAATCTTTTTCATGGAATTTTCGACGGAATTTTTTTTTTCATGAGAGTTTCAATAGAATCCTTTTCATGGGATTTTTTTACAGAACTTGGTCTATCGTAGTTGACATTCTGTGACGAATTTGCATGGGATTTTCATTCTGTTGAAAATTCCAACTTTTTTTAATTAAAAAAAATTAAAATACGTGTTTCTCTATATAGAGTAATCTAAATCTGCCTAAACATAATTAGAAATAGTGTAATATAAAATTACCAATAGGTAATCTAAATTTATCCACACGTAACTACAAGTAATCAATAGTGCAAACGCAATATGTCTAGCTAAAATTAAGAGGGGAGGTGGATGTTGTAAAGCTGATTGGAGCATTGGTGAATCTAGCGAGCTGCTCCATCATTACTCTCATTTGTTCTGCAACGTGTTGCTGTTGCTGCTCTATCCTTGCTCACACCTCTGCTTAAACGCCCACTGTTGTTCCTCAAATTGCTCATCTTTCTTTTTAAGCTCCTCCTTCAGGCGTCATACATTCATTTATTCAACATAAACAATTAGTATCAATTTAACATAATGTAAGTTTGTAAAAAAATGAATGTATCAATATATATACCTCATTAGAAGTCCCCTACTCAGAGGATTATATGGTACTGAAGTTGGAATTGGAGGTACCAGTCATCACGTATTGTGGATCGTATGGCACACTGAACCCGTAGATCCTCCCCTTCTTCAGTCATTTGGCAGCCTCCGTCCACAGATCAATGTCTCCTAACTGTGGCTAAGAACTCATGTCCTCCCTATATTTTTTTGATGATTGATGATACCGGGACTATAATTGCAAAACATGATAAGAACAAAACTCAGCATAATGATTGTAAAATAAACATTTGCACAATAAATAAGGTCTAACGTTTGCCCAACAATTGGCAACTCAAACTATCTTAAAGACTTTATAACCATGTTATGACCTCCTAAGGTCCATTCTGACTCAATTATGTCTGATATGACCCGTTAAGGTCTAATAAGACCATTAGCATCCATTATGACTCAGTTATGCGTAATATGACTCCTTAAGATCCAATAAAACCCATAAAGTAAATTATGAATCCATTAAGCCTGATATGAATCGTTTAGATCCGAGAAGACCCATTAAGATGCATTATGACTCAGTTAGGTCTGATGTTACTAAGGTCTAACAGGACCCCGTTAGCGTACATTATAACTCAATTAGGTCTAATATGATCCATTATGATCCAACAAGACCCATTAAGATACATTATCACTCACTTAAGCCTAATATCACCCATTACGAATGACAAGACCCTTTAAGCTACATCAAACTCTAGGACAATATCGTCCAGACCTGAAGCGTTCGGAGTCCAAATAGTCTTTGTAACAGATATCGTCTGACATAGCAGAACCACCCGAAAACCTGGTACCAGAACCATAAAACCTCGAGAAGAGTTGGATTCCCCTCGTAAGGGACGAGAACTAGAATAACCACGTCTACCTCTAATCATATCGTGCTACATAAAATGATTAATTGAGAACATATTTTTACAACACGATAGGTATAAACAACCATCAAATAAACATACTAACAAGAAAAAAGAAGGTTCATTTTCATCATTTTACAACATGATAAATATAACCACCATCAAACATACATAACTAAACTACCAACTATATAGACTCATATTGGTTGGATAGAAAAGGTTCATTATGAGCCTCAATTGAATCTATTCTACCTTGAAACTCTTCTTCTTCTTCTTCATCTTCCTTTTCCTCCTCGTCAACCTCATTGACATCAACTTCAATGGGGAACCAGGGGTGACAAGACTGATGGATTCAATATATTCATTCGATGGAGAAACTTGAGGTGCCAACTCGAATTATGTTTCTAGATAGGTAATTATCGATACAAGATGTCATTTGTAATATTTAAAATAATTAATTTTGGGAATTTAAAATGAATGATAAAATTTTTGTGGTTTGAAATTATCGATCAATGCTTTTCTTGATGGCAAATTAAACATAGTGCCAAAAAGTTTATGAGCCAACTAATCAACTAACAACTAGTTTTCCAACCAACAACCAATAACCAACTTATGAGCTAGTAATAAAATTAACTCTGTTTCGCCTATGATTAAAAAAGGTTTTGTCGAACATATATAACCTTAATTAAATGCGGAAAGTCAAATGTGTCTTCACTTTAAGAAAGAAAGTAATAAGTATAGTACAAATTAAAGGTCCTTAAATCAGAATACCAAGATTAATTCCTATCAGTTAACCGGTATTAATCCAAGAAACAAGTTTGGTATTTTTAGTTCGAAACTATTGGCTTAGTGCTTCATATCTATCATTACAAACTTGGTGCTTTTCTATTATAAATTTTAGGGTTCCAATAATATTATTTAAAATTATGCAATTTATGACCAAAAATAGAAAACTGTGGGAGGTGAAAGGATGACTCTTATGTAGATGCTAACACATTGTTCATTTATCATTCAATTCATATGGTTTTAGTTAATCTTCCCATTTAATACAGAAAAATGTTTTCTTTTTATACCATAGGCATCACAGTACGTTGAAGTAAGCTTAATTAGTAATAAAATAAAGACAGTCCATGATTTAAAAACATATAGAAACTAAAATTTTGATTTAAAATGTGACGAAAACTGAGCTTACAGTATTTAAGCAAGCTTTATGTAGATTTTGTATACTTATTTTCTACCATCATATGAGGTATATATTAATTACCATAGCAAAAGTAGAAAGCATAAGTAGAGCTAGCTGACCAGAATAACATCTTGTTGGAAGCTCAACAAGGCCATGACCTCAACATGCTTAGTTTAAACCACAAGTCACAACCTACAATGACAATATGATATAACAAAACGGTTCTTCTCATTTCCGAGATTGAATACAGTGTCCCAGTTGACATTTCGAAGATGGAAGGCATCATATCGTGTATGATGGTAGATGTAGACATTAGCACCCACACATCTGTCGGTAGCTAGGTGCAATCAAATCAGTCTTCAAGCTTCTGCTTCAAATCTACTACTAAATCAGAAATAAAGTCCTAGAACTGGATACATAAGATTCATATATATGCAATATTCAATCTAAGTCCTCTACGCTTATTAAGGGAAGAACATTGAGATATCACTAACCGTTGAAGTCTGGGCAGGCATGTCCTATAAAAAATGTTGTAACCAAAACCCAATAAAGGGAATGAAATAAGTTGGGGGAATTCAAGGACTATGACTATTATACATAGTTTGCTATCTAATCTTGGTGTGTGTGGTCTGCTAATCTAAAAAACAAAAGGGTTCATCATCTTCAACATAGAATAAAGCCTTAAAGCATAGAATTGAGACATCATACTGTTGTATACAAAATAAAGGATCCAAATACTTGAATCCTAGCAAGGGTCCTCTTGAACATCCAAAACCGAACCTCAGAAGATGTTTTGTAGCACCCCGATTTTTGAAAAGTAACAATATATATATATATATATATATATATATTTGGACGATAATCAAATGAGAACCACAAAAAGGTTGAGAACCATGAGGACTTATCTAATCCATAAGTTGGTTTTGATTCTATGGTTTTAATTTAAAGTTGCTTTTAATAAGAAAAATGACATAATCGTCATTTTGGTAACAGAGATTCACCGGATGAAACACACAAAAATTACCAAAAGAAACACAGATTCCACATATGGAACACATACTCACCATGTTATTTTCAACTTATGTAATAGACACTACACCAAATGTTGCCTTAGACAACAAATGTAAATTGCCTATGTTGCTTAAGATACGCTAAGACAACAAATGCTATTATATGTTGCCTAAGTTTCCTCTAATGCAACATATGGTTCTATGTTACCTAAGTGTGACCTTAGGCAACATATAAATAATTCTATGTTGCGTGCATATATCCTAGGCAACATACTAACCTATGTTGCCTTAGTTCAATGTTGAACACTCATAGTTTTTTTTAAATCTGTCAAAGTTTACTTAGTCAACATATATTCTTATACTATGTTGCCTAAGGTAAAAACATCCAACAAAGTTTACTTAAGCAACATATATTCCTATTTCTATGTTTGCCTAAGGTAAAAATTATAAATTCAACCCAATTTACTTAGGCAACTTATATTCTTGTTTCTATGTTGCCTAAGGTAAATATTATAAATTCAACCCAATTTACTTATAAACAAGTTGATGCTTCCAAGGTGACAACTAGCAGTGTACGAAAAGATTTATCATAATTTACTTAGGCAACATATATTCTTGTTTCTATGTTGCCTAAGGTAAAAATTATAA